TATGCAAAAGATTGACGAATGAAAAATCAACGCTGTTCTCCAAAACGCTACAGAGCAACGTTAACCCTCACAAATTGCACGACTATACTCGCACACACCTGTGGAATCGATTATAAATAAAATGATGGAAATAGAAAAAAAGAAAAAAGGATGGTGGCGTACAACAGTTCGGGTAATGTTTGCTCGTGTGAGATAAAGTCGTCCCGGTGCCCGTGAGTCGGATACTGATAGGAACCGCGAATAATTATACGCGTCTCGCGTCTTTGAGCGTGTGGACGCGTTAATTATACCATTAAAGTCAAGTGTATATACGTGTGTTATACACGTGTGCTCCATTCTGTTCTGGATAAATTCGCTCGTGAAAAAAATGTACGCCGCAAAGTTTACGAGGCAACGGAAAATCATCGTAATCTTGGAGCTGTATGTGCATAAGTATATTTTTCGATCTAGCACGAGCGTTTTAAAACTTACATAAGGTGCGCGCATGTGTGCAAAGATAAGAAAAATATATGATAATTATCTTGCAAACTATTGTTCTTAAGGGATTTTTTATCACAAAAAACATGCATATTATATAAAAAAGAAATGTTTAACAACAACATAACAAAAAGTTATGATACTTTTGCACAATACCGTTAGAACTGATGGTGTATCGTAGATTTTTTATGAACTGATTATGATTTTTTTTTTTTTTTTTTCAATCGATTTTATTTCTAGTCATTTAACAAAATTGTTAATTTTTATTTACGACGGTTATTATACATATTTTACATCGTAATTTTAACACTATTTACTCCATAGAACGTATAATGATAAAATGGTAATTGATCATTATACTGCAAATTTAAAGTACAGTAGTAATTACAATAATGATAATTCAACAATGAAACCATAATAAAATAATTACGAGAAATTTAAAAAAGATACAGCGGCTCAAAGAATGGCCAAGTTTAAAATTAATAATTTATTCGTTATGTAAAGTTTTAAATTAATAATTTATTTTTCGAGTCCATGCGTGCAAATACGTGTGTACTCGGTGCACACGGTTGCGGTTCATCGTGTATCGTTGTAAATAATACTCGTATGAATAAAAAAATAAATAAAGGGAACACACGTGTGCAGGTACATTCGAGTCAGTCTTTAAATTTACCAATATGACAGGTAGGGATTCCAACCAACTATACATCCTTTTGATCCCTGAGGAAAAAAAGGAGCAATAAATAAATTATAATGCGCGAGATTATATTTTTAACTGCAGGTTCTACTGCGTTCAGTATTTTTGTCGAGTTTTCTTCAACATGGCTCGTAAAAGATGAAGACGTAAATTATTTGAGGGTTTCTCCAAGTTCATCGCAGAAAAGGTCATTCCAAGGTAAGTAATAGGTAAAGTTACGAGACCGGCTGTACTTTTGTGTGCAAACGTGGAAGCTGTGCCACGAACCTTTGTTGGTCCTTCCTGTGGAAAAGGTGATAATATATTAGGTTGGCGGGTGTATAGTTCACGTACAGGCAACGTTCGTGTGGATGAACATGGGTGTAGGAAGAAAGGGACTGGAAAAAACAGGAAGAGAGAGAGAGAGAGAAATCTTGAATTCCTACTTTAGACGTCCTGAATTTTCGCGAAAAATGTGGTCACTTGTGCCTGACGCTCGTGTATACGAACGGACAGAGAGAAGAGGAAAGTAGTAAAAACAGAGAGGACTTGAATTTCGAAATTTTCCTTGACTCCAAGTCCTTTGGCGTTTAAAGTCCTTGTCTTTTAATACATTTAGGAAGTAACGTCGAACAATCAGAATTACAATAACAAGTACGTGTTTTTTAAATTCGTTGCTGCTGCTTATATTTTTCGCACAACTATTGTAAAATTTTTGTACACACTGGATCGATGAAAATTTATAAAAATCGTGACTTTTTTGTAATTTAAAAATCTACAATCACTAATCGGCCAAATGTGAAAGCCAACCGTATGAGCCGTATCGCACGATCATAATCGTACTCTGCTCTCTTCCTGGAACGCACGCGTAATTACACTCTACAACATAAATGTATAGTTTTATCCAATGGCCTATGACCCTTTTTGCCATTAAGATAAGATTCCCAATATATACTTGCCATTTCATCTAAGTTTTTATAAACTTGGATGACGGATGGGAATAAAGTCATGTATCACTGTTACTTGGCAACTATTCACCGTTTGCGATAATTCACGGACGCGCGCTCGTCGATCGCGTGACTTGGCGCTTTGTTACTGCTATTTCATATCATTAATTTTTTCAAATATTTTTACCGAAACTTTGTCGTTTTCGATGTTTTATCTATTTATAATTTTTTTTATATTTTTTTATTTTGTACAAACCTCGAGTGATGGAATTGAAATACTATTTTTATGTTTAAAATCTACGACAAATTCCCTGCGTCTGACGTAAAACTCAATCATCAGATTTGAGTTAAAATAAAAAGTGAAGTGTACTATCCAACTATACTGTGGATGGACAATGAACGAGCATTTTTATCATTTGATCAATTGATTGTATTGCAAATTAATGGATACAAAATACACAGTAAATAAAAAATATGAGAAAATATTTTAGATGATAATAATAGCATACAATTAATGTATTTACCAAACTTCTATCACTTTTTCGTTACTACGATTCTTTAAAATTTTTTCTGTCAATCAGATATGTACTTACATACGTTCCTTTAGAGGAATAATTATTTGTGCTATTTTTCTTAGAAGTTCAAGTAAAATATTGTCGTAAATCTGTCCAACAAATTACAATGAAGAGTGGAATATATCTGTAAAATGATCGTTTTTATTATCAAAAATTTCATGAACGTAAATTTTTATGTCCGAGGTAGAAACATTTTTTCGAGAATACTTGGCGCTTTTTAAAGCCAAATTAAAGGAAATTTACTATGTTTCCTTGAAATGCACAGATTCAACACAAAAAATATATTTATCACAAAATAATCGAAGCAAACTTTTTACTTAAAAAATATATAAACAAAAATCCGACCACTTATCAAAAAAAAAAAAAAAAAAAAAGTGATACCGAACAAGCTGTTCTTCGGAATTTAAATTAAAGATAGTATTTATTTTGTTGTGCATGATCTGCGTCTCGTTTAAAATGAAAAAATGTAAGGAGATGTAGAGTACGATGCTTAATTAAATTTTTTTACTGATGGCCAGAGACTGTTATTTAAGTAAAAATGAGTGATTTTATGTACTACAATTTCTAAGAAAAAAAAAGTTAAAAATATGATATTTATTGTAAATATTTTCTTTACGTTTGATGAGATATTTGTTATGTTTATGCATAAGTTGTGTTTGAATTGTACAAAAAAAAAAAAAAATAAATATTGTATCAAGGGTATAAAAAATAAATATGTACATATTTTATAAAGTGTGTGTGTTAAATAGATTATAATAAAAAAATGAAAATAACTAAAAAGTATTTCTGGATAGTAATTATATTTACACCTATGAATTAAATACAAAAAAACATTTGTTTCATTGTAAACAATGTAATTGTATACGGAGCATAAAGTTTTAATCTAATGCGAGTTGATACATCGTCAAATCTTTTGTTAAATGGTCATTGATATTTTTTTTCGATACAGGCATTTTTTACTTGGCTGGCACTTGAAGAAATACTGATGACCGCCAGCAGCAACAAACAGCTCAACACTTTGGTACCATTGGTTATATTAATTTATTGCTTTTTTAAAGTCCATGAATTCACCGGGAAATTATCAAAAAATATTTGTACCATTGCACCGTATCTTTAATGCTGTAGATAAATACACAAATACAAATTATCGGATTCATTGACGAATTCATAAATATCATCTATTTTTATGGTAGGTACGCTTCGTTGATAGATATGTATATATATATTTTTTTGATGTATCTGAGCACCCGAATTCTTTTTTGACATAAAAGTATTCACCAACCCTTATTCCGTTCAAAATTTTTTTCAATAAAACAAATTTAAGGTAATTGGATAAAATATTTTGTTCCATGAAATTGATATTTTGTTTTTAAATGATGAAAAAAATTTTGAAAGCAATATCATTCGAGTGTACAAAAAATTTTTTTTAAATAAAATGTAATTTTGTC